AAAAATGCAATAAATGTAAGTTAATCAGATTTTTATAGCATGTCGTTATTAGTTACTATTAATTAGTATTAAAGCTAATTTTATTGTTTTTGTTTTCGTATGTTATTCTATTTCTATTATTTTATATTGACCGTGGTTCATGCAGCACACCCTATAGCAGATGTCACGAGCCGCCACTGTATATGAGTGTCGTCCCCTCGTTCTTCAAAAAAAGAAATTATTTCGAGAAGTAGCTCCTGGAAACTATCTAAACATTTTCCATGACTCAACCACTTCACATCTGCATGCAGAAGTAAATTAGTGTGTTCCGCAGAGTCGCTAGCTTCCAATTACTCTTTAAAAAGACGTCTCTATATTTTTTGATTTCAGCCACGCTTGGATGTCAACTTTTTTGCAAGCAGTAGTTGGAATTTTTTTCAATTCTCTGGAATGATAAGACAGCAGTATATTTTTGAACTAATTTTCGAAAGATTTCCCGTCCATATCTTCATGGTAGTCCCTACTTTTTTTTGTTCAAACACTCACAGCCCTTCTGGAACAAACCCATCTTCACTGCCAATGTGACAGATTATTAGTTTTTTTTCTTTTTCCTGAAAATTTTATTATACTAAAATTTACTTGAAGTGAAAAAGCACACAAACCTGCAGGATAATTTAGCTATGTATATGCCAAATGTCATGTTAATGCAAGCGGATCTTTAATATTTACAGCAAAAACCGTGAATAAATGGACTAAAAAGGAAATAAAACTTTTCGAAAAATCAATAAATTAAAATATTGATTTCAGTAATTACCGCAAGCTATTTTTACTTTTGATTAACAAACACTTTGATTTTTCATACTAAAAGTTCACTACACACTTTAAAACTTAATACTAAACACTTAAATACCGACCAGTAAATATCTTAACAATAACTAAACATATAACACACAATATGTGTAACTACTTAAAAACCAACACGCTAAAAACACAATTTGAATTTAAACAGACTGACAAGTTTGAACCTGTAAAATGAGAATTCGTCTGGCAATAAATTATATTTAATAGCCTCATTATTTAATAGACTCATAAGTAGATAGCATCATAATTATTTCGATCATGGTACGTGATCTAAATCACGTGAATCTCGTGTGATTCACGAGCCGTGAGTCACCTGCGAATCACGAATGACTCACCACAGGTGAATTATTTGATCACGTGTGGAAAGTCAGGACAGTCCTTGTATTTTCTCCGTGAATCGCGATCGACTTCAAAAACTTTAGCGATCGACCGGTCGACCACGATCGACCATTTGAGCACCGCTAGTGTATATGCATATTTTTTAATATCAAATTAACACGTTACCTGCCGTAGAGGATTTTGTAATAATTTCCGTTAATGCCATAGTCACCGAGTCGGCATCACAATTATATTAAAATTCTCGGTCAAATAGACCTCGCTGACGTGCAAAGCAATTTTGTTTCTCGGTCACATAGACCGAGACGGCAGGCAACGTGTTAATAGCTATTTTTACAAAAAGGGAGCAATATGCTACTTTTCCACCCGAGAATGAAGTTTACTACCCGATGCGTAGCGGAAGGCAGTAATCATTCAAGGGAGGAAAAGGCACTTTACTCCCATGTTGAACATATGATTTTTCCACCTCCCTTAAATAACAAGTCATTTTTTCATTTTTAAATAATTTATTTATATAATTAACTAACAAAACTTATTAGAAAACTAAAACTAACAAGTAAGTACAGTATAACTGTATTTTCTAACTGCATCCTAAATACGTTTAATTTGTTGTTGGCAATTATTTATATTAATGTTAAATGTGCAATTTTGAGTAGTGGTTATTGTTGTGAGTATGACTCCCATAATTTGATACAAAATTTTCCCCTTTTTTTGCAAGAAATACCCAAGAAATACCCTACATACCCTTCAGCGATATTCGTAGAATTCCAATTTCTGTGTTGCCTTATAGCATTAGGCAGTTTTAAAAATTCTGCAATTTTTGTAAAAATTTGAGTGATAGAATTTTTTAAACCAGTTGTTTGATACTTTTTCTGCTCTATAGTAGACAAATAAACGTGACTGATCCATTTTAGTAGGTAAAGGTATATACCTATTTCCTATAAATATCAATATAATTAGGGTCATACCCTGGTGAAGCATTGATTACAAACGGTCTATGTATATTTGTTATAGTATGTATTTGGTATATTTATTACTAAAATTGAACTTTATCTTCAACATATGCTTCAACCACACTTTCCAGAAGTAACCTGCGAGTCTCTTAGTTCGAAACATCCAGATTTATATTCGTCATTTAAGGTAAGCATTTATGAATCTAATTTGCAGAATGCTATGGACTCTGATAAATGGCCCCATGGAGCATATGTCCAGCGTTTTTTATACCTAAACAGAACGCACCTGAGAAATTCGACATAAATAACGACGTTGATGTTAGTACACAAAATAATAATAGGGTAGATTCTTTTGAAAATTTTAAAATCATAAGTATTAACTCTCAATCGATAACTAATAAAAGTAACAGAATTGAGGTAATATTGAGCTCAGATGATCCTGATGTTCTACGTGTATCTGAAACGTGATGTAGTGATCTAAATAGGGATTTATTTTGTTTTCAAAATTATAACCAAGTAGCGTCTTTTACAAGAAAAGATAAATGCCATGGAGGTGTTTCGATGTACATAAAAGACTGTTTATCTTGTAAACCTCAAAACTTTTTAAATAATATGGCGGAAGAAATACATTTTGAATGTTGTTGTGTTACTTTTAGCTTAAGAGAATCTATGTGTTGTCTTATTAATATTTACAGAGCCCCTTCTGGCGATATTGAGATATTTGTAAACAAACTTTACTCGTGTCTAAATTATTGTTTTAAACATTTTAAAACCACTATTTTATGCGGGGATTTTAATATAGACTATCTTAAAGACTCTAAGGAAAAAGTTTTACTTACTGATTTTATACAAAGTTTTAATTTAAAGTGTCAAAATAAAGAACCTACACGAATATTTACAGACAAGAATGGAAAAACTTCTTTCTAAAACTAAATTAGATTATTTTCTTACAAACTGGTCACATCAATATGAAGAAACTACCAAAGATTTTATTTTGGGAGATCATTTTGGTTTGGGAGTTTTTGTTAATACATGCTAAACCAGAAAAAGGACAATTTAAAATAAGTCAAAACGTAACATTCAGAAATCTTTCCAAATCGAATTTATTAACTTTACAGATTTTTTACTGAAAAATTTGAACAGCTTTACGAATATCTTGATAATGCGAATTTGGCTTTTGAAATATTTTTGAACGTACTCACGTACCATATTGCCATATCTTGTCCAATGACTACAAAAATAATTTGCAATAAGTCTAAAAATAGTTGGGTAACAAATGATATAATACACGAGGGAAATGGTTTGAGAAGTCTTTTTTGGCTATCAAATAATTCTAAAAATATAGTTATTCATTTAAAATATAAAGAAAAAAAGAAACAGTATGTCAAACTAATCGACGAAACAAAAAAGGGTTTCTTTCAAAATAGTTTAGAATGTAAAAATACTATACAGCAACAGCAGAAGTTTATATGGCGTACGGTTAATAAAAAAATAGGTAAAAATAGGTAAGACGGTAAAACATAGGTAATAAGTATGATAAAATACAACTTGTTGATAAAATTATTACTAATAAATATGAGATGGCAAACGCTTTTGTAGAGCATTTTACTACTTGTCCTAAAAATAAAATCATAAATATTTTTAAAAATACCAATTTTGATCATAATACCACACAACATGTAGATAAATCCTTTTATTTTTTTCCTGTAGATGAGTATGATGTTAGAGAGGTTATTGGCTCCTTGAAAAATGTTACCTCAGTAGGTATTGATTGCATATCAACTAAATTAATAAAGTGTATTAGTGAATATAGCGCAACCCCTTGCAAATTTAATAAATTTATCAGTAGAACAGGGTATCTTTCCACATAGCTTGAAGGTAGGAGTTGTAACTACAATATTCAAAAGTGGAAATAATTCAATTTTAGATAATTACAGGCCAGTTACAGTCCCTACTATTTTGGGTAAAATATATGAAAAATGTGTATACAAAAGAATGTATAGTTTCCTTAGTAAATATTATGTTCCAACCAACACGTATTTCTACCTGGAAGATCAACAGAGAGTGCTACCACTGAATTGCTTAGTTTCATTCACATCGCACTGGATCGGGGAGATTTTGTGGGGGCACTTTTCTTTGATCTCTCAAAAGCATTTGATACCATAAACGTAAGTGTTGCTATAGAGAAGTTAAAAAATCTTGGTTTTAGGGGTCAGTTCGCATTATGGCTATCATCTTATTTACATTCTAGGAAGATCCTCGTTAAACTTAGTGATACACGATCAGATTATGGTGATATTGATATTGGGGTTCCTCAGGGTTCAATATTGGGGCCATTAATATTCCTATGCTATATTAATGATATGCCCAGATATGTCAGTTCAAATAACATATTTATGTATGCAGATGACACAACCATTGCTATATCTGCTTCAAGTGCCGAGGAATTAACTGTTCAACTGAATGTTATATCAGAAGATTTTACAGAGTGGTGTAAAAAAATGCTTTGATTGTTAATGCTAAAAAAACCACAAGCATGCAATTCTACTACAGATCAAATTCAAGTTACCAGTTTTCTATAAAAGTGAATGATAGCCTGCAGACTGCACCAATGGAAATCAATTTTACATGTGTAACACTTGTGACTCGGAGGACGATATGTAGTTCTTTCTAAGTTTGTAAGTTCTTCTATGAATTAAACCGTTTTATTTCTTATTTACTTTATTTTTGTAATACTGTGTCAACATCATTCTTTAAATGATTACTTAAACATGATATAGTAGGTCCAGTACTAAAACAATGATAACAATTAAATTTATTGAATTGTTATCATTATTATTTTACGATTTTGTTTTTAGTGAAATATAGATTTTGTTTTTATGAACTATATTTACGAAAAAGTTACATATTGATAGATATACATTCTCTATAATCTTCATTTTCAGCCTTGACTCAAATTAATTGTAGATTTTGTGTGAATTTTTGACTTCACTTAAGAATGTATTTTGCTCTCCAGCTGAGAATTTCCTAAAAATGATAAACATTTATTATTAAAATTTTACTAAATATTTTAAAAATTATATACAGATATCTATTATTCAAGGTTGATGATAGTAATGGTGACCAAAATTAAACTGATGAAGACAGGGATAGAAATTATTTTTCGGAAAAAATAATAGACTACAAGTCCATTGGAAATTTTAAGGAGTTATTTGACTCAACATGAATCACATATAAATCAATACTGTAATATGTAATAATAACTTAAAAAAATGTGCCGTCAATTTTCGTCGGTATAGGTGACTACACAGGTAAGGTAAATTTACCACTTAAGGTCTAAACATAATTGTGTAGTAGTAGGTAGTAAATAGTAGGTAATATAAAAATAATGACCTAAGACCTAGCCGTACAAAAATATTGGTACCAGGACCAGGGACAATCTTTGATTTTCGGAAAACTTTGATCCCATTTTCGGTAATTTGATACAGTACGGCATTCAAACACATATCTTTATATCGTTAAGCTCTGATAAGTGAGATATTACGATGAAAAAATTCTGTACAGCATTATTACATTTTTAATAATTATTGACATCAATTATCAACAATAACAAAAAGCCATACAAAAAAAATGGTTCTAAATGGTTTTAAATGTATTATAGTCCAGATTGTGAGGCGGCTCCCGCAGGAAAAATGATTCTGATTCAGTTTCTTTACGGATTCCTATTAAAATCATGCTCCTTTAAACAAATTAGAAGGGTGTTGGGCAAAATTCTTGCTCAATAATTGTTTAAACATTTTTTTAAACAAATTCCAAAAATCACCGTTTTTGTTCCGAGAAATATTTTTTTAGGTTTCTTGGGTCATTCTAAACAAAAAAAATCGTGTCAATTTTCTCTTAAAGTTAATAGTTTTCGAGTTATAAGTAATTAACATCTCAAAAAATTAAGAATGCGCACTTTCGGGGCTGGAAAGCTTATTTATTAGCCTTAATAGCAATATAAATAAATAAGTAAGTAAGTAAATAAGTAATATGTTTTATTGTTACTGAAAATTGTAAAAATTTTATGGACAAAGCTTATAACAATAGGTAAGACAACAAAGAAGAAAAAAATTAGAATAAGAATCATTTGTGCTTTTAAATAAAAAAAAAGAATAAAATTAAAACTTAAACAAACTTAAACGTAAAAAATACTACCTAATTAAGAACCTACGAACTTCGTAAAATGTACCTAACAAAGAATAAAAATTAGGAAAGCAGATTAATGAATTAAGGGCTCAAATATTCTACCTCCTTGTGCTAAACAGCAACCAAATCTGTCATACAGATTTCTCCTCATATTTCGGAGTAGGCCTGGTGTAATGCTTCCAGGGAAATGAAGTATTTTTGCCCTTAACTCGACTAGGTTTGTGGCCCTTTCAAACTGATGCCTATAAATGATTGACCGCTGCTTTTTTATCACAGTAGTGATTTGTGATGATATTGATGACTCTTAAATCTAGTTTTTTTATGCAAATAAAAGTTTAATAAGAATCTGATGGTGAACTATATCAAATGATCTTTCTACACAGTAATTATGGTTAAAACATGTGTTGGTTCTTCGAATAATGAGGTACGATATTGCATTTATGATACTTACTCAACTGGATACACAAAGTAGTTTAGGGTATTTTCGTGCATTAGTTTCTTTAAATTATGGACTGAATATCGATTATACTGTCCCCAAATACTATTCATAAATTTACTATTATACTGGGTGGGATCCAAAGCAGCTGCAAAAAATGATACAAAAATGGATGAACAAGCAAATAATAAAGCTTTTGAAATAAAATAGTTGCAACAAAATCTATGTTTACTAAAGTTTAAGAATCGAAATAAGTATTACTTGTTGAGACTAGGAAAGCCTTTCGAAATTTTATCCATCGACGCAATTTCGATAAAAAATTTCATTAAATAATTCAAATATCTTCATCAAGGAAATAAATATGATTAAGCAGTAGTACTCATTTCTTAATGTTAATGCAAAACTAGTTTAAATTGGTTAAATATAGACTAGCTTACAGTTTCAAAACTTATTGCCATTGAACATGAGTAGTATCAATCAATCAATCAATAATCAATCAATATTCTTTATTTCATCTCTTTTTCAAGTATTGAAATGCGTCAAAATACAATCTAAAAACTATAGGTACATAGGTAGTAAAAAAAGTTAAAACTATAAGCACATAGTTCTTCTAAAGCTCTGGAGAGATTAGGAAATGCCGAAAGGTCTTAATCTCGTTGAAGGAAAAATCCGAATCTGCACCTCCACGCGTAGAGGACGGGCAACATCAATTTTGATGGCTAACGCAGATAGGGACCGAGTGATTGCCGATATAAGCAGTCCCCCACTTACCGACCAACGGCTCCGGGCGGACGAGTTGGTAGGTGGTAGGGCACTCTTTTGTCCTGGGGCTGAGAAACCGGCCCCAAAGGCGGAAGAATCAATGGTTTCAATTGTACAATTGTACAATGGTACAATTATAATGGCTGTACAACTCAATAAAAATTCGCACACTGATCATGGACATCTGAGACCAAGATCCGGCAAGAGAGGTCATTCCTATGACCACAGGGCCTCTCAGGTCGTTAATATGCAAAATCCCTGTGAAATACCCAATAAAACACCTTTAAGAAAAGCCCACACGAATTGTCTGAAGAGAATATCCATTTGGAACGTTAGGACGATGGCTCAATCAGGAAAAATCCAATGCGCAATTAAAGAAATGGAACGCATGAAAATAGAAATAATGGGCATAAGTGAAATGAGGTGGCCTGACTTAAGTTATTGTGATATAGAAGACTACAGAGTATACTATTCAGGATCAGAAAATGGTAAATATGAGAATGGGGTTGGAATTATCACGCATAAAAGTATAGCCAAACAAGTCAACAACTTCATACCAGTGAACGATAGAATCCTCCTGTTACAAATAAATACGTCACCGGTGAACACAAACATCATACAAGTCTATGCACCCACAGCAGACCATAGTGATGAAGAAATATCAGAATTCTACAAACAAATAAGCAACCTTATAAGAGATATACCGAGACACGAACTCCTTATAATCATGGGAGATTTCAATGCAAAAATAGGTAACGGAAAAGAAGGGCAACATATTAGTCCACATGGATTAGGAGAGAGAAATCAACGCGGAGAAACAATGAGTATCTTTGCAGCTGAGCATGACTTAATCGTGCTAAACACATTTTACAAACTACCGCCTAGACGCCTGTATACGTGGAAATCATCTAGAGACAACGGAGAAGACGTTATTATTAGAAATCAAATAGACTATATGCTTGTTAACAAAAGATATCGAAATAGTTTCAACAGTGTTAAAACCTACCCAGGCGCTGTTATTCAATCTGACCACAATCCTTTAGTGGGCGTGTATAGAACTTAGGTAAAGAAAATACGCGGAAAAACTGTAAAAAAAACATGACATGAGAAAACTGAAATGTAGCGAAGTAAAAGAAATAGTCAGCAAAACATTAAATAGAAAATTTAAAGAAATCGATAATACAACGGAAAGCACACAAGATAAGATAGAATCCCTTAAGAAAACAATAGACGACATTAAAGACAATTTTATGAAGAACGAAGAAGGTAAGAATAAGACATGGATGACGACAGAGATTCTGCAACTAATGGAAGAAAGAAGGAAAAACAAGAACGATAACTCCATGTATAAAACATTACAGCGAGAGATACAGAGAAAGATCTGAGAAGCCAAACAGAAAGAACTGGAGAAAAAATGCCAAGAAATCGAAATTCTCCAAAGTAAATACGACGACTTCAACGTGCATAAGAAGGTAAGAGAAATTACAGGTAAATGTAAAAACAGAAGAATAAGTAAACTTGTTAATGACAATGGAGAGATAATCGTGGACAAAGAGAGTATCAATGATACCTGGAAAAATTACATAAGAAATTTATTTTTTTGATGAGAGAGAGAACCAGCCCCCAATACCTACGGAAACAGGACCACCTATACTAGTGGCAAAAATAAGAGCAGCCATAATATCACTAAAAGAAGGTAGAGCTCCAGGACCAGACGGAGTACAATCTGAATTTCTTAAACTTCTTGATGATGAATCTTTAAGAGTACTATGTAAAATCTTCAATAATATCTATGACACAGGCAATATCCCAAAAGATTGGCTACTTTCAGAATTTATTACCTTACCAAAGAAACATGGAGCAAAAAAGTGCGGAGAATATAGGCTAATAAGTCTAATGAGCCATACATTAAAACTTTTTCTTAAAATTATACATCGTAGAATATACAAGCTATGCGAAGAGAGAATACAAGACACACAGTTTGGATTCATGAAAGGCGTAGGTACAAGAGATGCACTGTTTAGTCTACAAGTATTATTTCAAAGATGCAGAGATATGACTTGCGATATTTACACCTGCTTTGTGGACTACCAAAAAGCATTTGATACAGTTCAACACCAAAAAATGATGGATATTCTAACAAAAGCCCAAATGGATGATAAAGATCGGCGTATAATACAAAATTTATACTGGAACCAATCAGCCACAATAAGAACGAATTTTGGAGGTGAACCAACGGAAATGATCCAGATTCTACGAGGCGTTAGACAAGGTTGTATACTTTCACCTATATTATTTAATCTATATTCAGAGGAAATATTTAGTGAAGCCTTGGAAAAATGCGAACATGGAATACTTCTAAATGGAGAACGCCTAAACAACATCCGTTATGCAGATGACACCGTTATTTTTGCAGACAGTTTGAACAGTTTACAGCAACTAATAAACAAAGTAAATGAAGTAAGTGAAAGATTTGGACTTCAAGTAAATATAACAAAAACTAAATTTATGATCATCAGCAAAAATAAAGTTAGAGACGCTCAACTACTTATCAATAATACACCAGTGGACCGAGTAAAACAGTATAACTATCTTGGAACAACAGTAAATGAACAATGGGATCACTCACAGGAAATAAAATGTAGAATAGAGAAGGCTAGGAGTGCATTCAATAATATGGCCAAACTGTTTAAAAGCCACAATCTTAATCTGGAGATAAAAGTAAGGCTCCTACGATGTTATATCTTCTCAATATTGTATTACGGAGTTGAATCCTGGACACTAACTGAAGCAATGGAGAAAAAACTTGAAGCCTTCGAGATGTGGCTATACAGGCGAATTCTAAGGATATCATGGACAGACAAGATAACCAACGAGACCGTATTACGAAGAGTGGGCAAACAAAGAGAGGTGATGTATACCATTAAAAGGAGAAAGTTGGAATATCTCGGACATATAATGAGAAACAGCACTAAATACAGATTACTGAAAGTAATCCTACAGGGTAAAGTATTCGGAAAGCGAGGAATTGGGAGAAGGAGAATATCATGGTTGAAGAACCTGAGGAAATGGTTCTCCACAACAACAACGAATCTATTTAAAGCATCAGTTAATACAATAATTATAGCCAGAATGATTGCCAATATTCGGAACGAATAGGCATTGAAAGAAGAAGAATAAGCACATAAAACATAAAATATACACAAAAACATACAAATTGTTAAAAAGATGCCTGCAAGTATTCCTCTAAGTGTTTACGACGAATAGAAAGTGTTTGTCAGAAGTAAGTCCTTAACTGTTCTCTTAAATACATAAATATTTGACTCTTTAACATAATTAGGTAATTTATTATACAAACTAACGCATGTTGTGTAAGGACCCTGGCCCACAACAGTCAAGTGACGAGCAGGGGTCACCAAATCATTTCTGTAACGAAAATTGTAGTAGAAAATAATTGTATTAAACATTACATCGGAGAATTCAATGCTCAGTCAGAACAGAAACACTAAAAGTAATATTAACTATCGTAATTTATAAATAAATGTGTTTTTTCTAGTTTTCCTGCAACCGGAACTAAAAACATCCAGTTTCATAATTTTTCCACTTATGTGTTAATGTCGAATCCGAATCATACACCATTTTTTTTGTATTTTGCAGTTTGATTGCACTAACCACGGCACGGTACCATAAATGATAAATTACTCCATATAGAACGCTTGGTAGATAGTACCTACTGAAAAATCGGCAAAAAGAAACGATTAGAGCAATTTATACGATCTTACAAGTCACTTTAGATGAAAAGCTTTTAAACAAACATCAAGAATAATAGGACTGGATAGACAAATCCATAAAACAGGAGAGGAGATTCAACAGACAGGAATAAAATATTTTACAGAAATATACAAAAAGTAGTCGACAACTGTGGTAGAATACTCTAGAAAAGCTGAACAAATAGAATTGTTAGAAATCAACGAAGAGATTATTGAAAAACCGGAAATGAAACAAGCAATTATCATGCTAAACACATAAGAAGTCCACGGAAAGAGCTGGAGAGAGAGAGAGAGAGAGAGAGAGAGAGAGAGAGAACGAAACATTGAAGCGAATGAAAGTGTTGCAGGTATTAGCAAAAAACAGTAAAATATCGAAGGACCTAGTTAAGAAATTACACTAAATGCTACGTATACTATGCAGGAGTAACAGACTAACCAGTATTACACCGACTAATGGGGTTTACTTATTACTGCTCTATGCTCTATTAGGAGCCACAACAAGAAGGAAGATTTAACTCACGGTCGGAGAGACTGAACGGAACTGAAGAATCGATTTAATTTTTTTTAATCGCAGGCCTACCGACTACTATTCTTAGAATCTTTGACCCAGCTATCC